TGACAACATACTAGAGACGATGCCTTGTATCAATGAGCCTATTGTTTCAAACAATCGGATGAGTGAATGGGCTGAACTTTCATTATTTCAGTGCTGTTCCAGTGATGAGATTCGTCAAGTTATTTTGGATTCACCTACAAAGTCGTGCCCACTGGATGATTTGCCAACTAAAATACTTAAAAAATACGTTCATCTGTTTTTCCCGTTTTTGACTGTTTTTGTAAATGCATTTTTAACTTATGGGCATTTCCCGATGGCTTTTAAATATTCAATTGTTGTTCCGATGTTAAAAAAGCAGACACTAGACAAAAATAGTTTATCAAGTTATAGACCGGTGTCAAATCTAATATTTTTGTCAAAAGTTATTGAACGAATTGTCCACAAACAGCTAATTTGTCATTTAAATCATAATGATCTGCTACCAAAATGTCAGTCAGGATTTAAAAAATTTCATTCAACTGAGACTGCACTGATAGATGTTTCATCTTTTTTGTTTTTTTCTATTGATGATCAAAATATTTCAATCTTGGCATTACTTGATGTTAGTGCAGCCTTTGATTGTGTTAATCACGAGATTTTACTTGGAAAGCTACGTCAATGTTTTGGAATCTCAGGTGTTGTTCTTATTTAGTTCGAATCATATCTCTCTGCGCAAAAACAACAGGTATTACGCAGAGATGTTTTATCATCTGTCCAGGAAGTAAAGCATGGGGTACCGCAAGGTTCAGTACTTGGACCGCAGCTGTTTTTGCTATACACTGCTGACGTTTTCGACATCATTGATTCATTCAGGTTCAAGCATCATGGGTTTGCAGATGACATACAAATCATTGTCAGTGGTCCAGCTACTTCATTTCAAGCTCTTGTTGAAAGATTTGGTCGGTGCATGGAGGCGATTGATTCTTGGATGATGAAGCACAAACTCAAATTGAATCAATGCAAAACCCAGTTATTGCCAATTGGTACGTGGCAGCAAATAAACAAATTAAATTTAACTTCGATTGAGATTAACAACAGTAAGATTGAATTATGTCAAGTTGCTCGTAACAACGAACTACAAACATATTAACACCAAACATTCGGTAGAATTTATAGAATATTGTAAAAATTATGGTCTATTACCAACATATATATATATATATATATATATGAATATATATATATACATATATATATATATGTATATATATATGTATATATATATATGTATATATATAATATATATATATATATTATATATATATATATTGATAATAGACTGTTGTTAACGCAACATTTCAAAAATTCAACACTACTTTTAACATTGTTCAACTTTTTTATATTTCTTTTTAGTTTATTAATGTCAGAAATATTTGACATTTTATTATTTTAAAAATTTTATTAAATAAATTTGCAGATAGCTATTTCGAGTTATAGATAACTCATATTCAGTGCATTATATATTGTTATAATACTCGCTGTCGTAACCGGTTTACGATGCGACGGGTTCAAATCTTCGATTGAATAAAATACTCCAAACAGTTATTAAACTTTATTTACAGAAGAAATCAACTATTATTAGTTATTAAACTTTATTTACAGAAGAAATCAACTAATCGTTTATTTCCAGTAAATTCGCACTAACGCAACAATTAACTTTTAAATCTTTCAAAATCTATCGCTATGACAACGTCAACAAACAATTCAAATATCGCTTTAAATAATTCACCGAATCGCTATTCACAAAATCACGAATATCACCAATCACGAATATCACTAATCACGAATATCACTAATCACGAATATCACTAATCACGAATATCTTGCGACGTGCGCTTATATACTCTTCGCAAGCGTCGTTTCTAGATTCTTCCCGATGGTCCGATTCCAGCATACTCTAGAACGTTCCAGTCACTAGAACATTCTAGAATACGCTAGAATCTAGTGCGTTCGGTAGCACGGTTATAACATTACCCCCTTCTTAGTTCTGTTCGTCCCGAACAGCTTTCGTTCCGGTGTCCGCATGGTACGGAGCCAGTCTATCCAAATGGACGATCTTCATTCTTGCTCTCGGCTTCCGATATTCCTGAATACGGTAGACGACGTCATTCAAGCGGGTGATGACTTGATAAGGTCCTTCCCACCCTCGCTGGAGCTTGGAGAACGCCTTTCTTCCGCTGTGGGTTGTACAGCCAAACTAACTCGTCGACAGCAAAACCGCCACTGCTTCCTTTCAAGTCGTATCTGGTTTTGGCCGCCTCCGTGTTTTTCATAATTTTAAGGCGTACGTAACGGTGGATATGGTTTAATCGCTGTCGAAGATTATCCACGTATTCTGTTAATGGTTGGTGTGGTTCGGGTGGTACGCCATATTTCACATCAGCTGGAGTTCTTAAGGTAGTCCCAAACAGAACTCTTGATGGCGTTTCTCCAGTAGTTGCGTGGATAGCACTCCGGTATGCCATAAGAAACAATGGTATATGACGATCCCAATCCCGTTGATTTTCGTCGACTACTTTAGCCAGATGTTCAATCAGGGTTTGGTTGAATCGTTCCACCATACCGTCAGACTGTGGGTGAAGAGGTGTCGTTCGAGTTTTGTTTATACCTAGCAGCTTGCACATTTCACCAAACAGTTGTGACTCAAAATTTCGACCTTGATCTGAGTGGAGTTCCAATGGGACACCATATCGACTAATCCAATTGAGTACAATTTCCTCAGCGACGGTACATGCTTCTTGGTTGGGTATTGGAAACACCTCAGGCCATTTGCTGAAATAGTCCGCTACAACCAGAATGTAACGGTTTCCATAATCTGATACCGGAAAGGGTCCAGCAATATCTATAGCAATCCGTTCAAAGGGGACACCAACATTGTAGATTTGCATTGCTTTTAGCCTTCTTTTGGGTCCTTTGACTGAAGCGCATGTGTTACATTTTCGACACCAGCTCTCTACATCTTCTCTAACGTGAAGCCAGTAAAATCCTTCTCGTATTTTGTCAAGGGTCTTGTTCACTCCTAAATGTCCCCCAGAAGGGCCGCCATGCATTTCATCAAGGATTTCGGTCGTTCTATTTCTTGGTATTACAACTTGCATGCGGTGTTTTGATCCATCAGCTGATTCCCATTTTCGTTTCAGCAAATCCCCTTCC